GCAGTGTGCAAGATGTTAATAATAGTCTATAGTAGGAGTAGCAGTTCAGGATCCTATCTAAGGAATTGTGCATTAGGCTCCATGCATCACAGTGCCTTTTTTTCCTTATCACAACACTCAATAAATAATACAGAAACAGGCAGCATAATAAGGACACATATTTAAGCAGTGGTCATGGGCTATGCCACAGCTCATATACTCTGTTATGGATATTGGTAGCACTTATAGTGAGAGGAAGTCTAGAAACAGAGAATGACTTAAAAACACTATTCAGGAGAAAATTAAGCGAAGTGAAATTAAAATGTCTGAAATGATTGAAGACAATTCATAAAAAGTGATAATAGGGGTTGAATATGTTTAACATTGCTAAATGAGAAAGAAAGAGGGTAATAAAACTCTAATTCTTTTCAGAGCATAAAACAACCAAAAGACAGTGTGGAACATGGCTAGCAGCATGGGGTTGAAGTAGCAAAAAGAAAACATTAGCTCAGCTATTAAAAAATGGAAGGATCAGATCTATTAGACTGTGGAATAGCCTCTTGAGGAAAAGTCTCTTGCCTATTCATTTTAAATAATATGGACAATGTGATGAAAAGTGCTCACTTGGGAAAAAAATCTTGCCTCATCAGAATGCACACACACAAAAAAGCAAAAAACCCCAGACCCAAACCCAAACACCTCACTAGCATCTCTTCGTTTGTAGTGGTTTTCTCTAACCTAGTTCAGTTCTAAATGGTACTTGTTGAACTTTTCCAAATTATTTTTGATTAATTGCCTGGAGGAAGGCTGAAAGTTACCTGTAGGGAGTTCAGCAGTTTCTCAGCCACTGAGCAGGCAGTGAGTCCATGACAGCAAGCAGTTTGAAAGTTGTGGCAAAATATACTGCTCCTTAGCAACATGCCTCTACAGCATGTAAGTGCAGGAGAGGCTGATATACACATAACATCTCATTTAGCTTCTCATTGCGTTGCCTGACATGAATACAGCTGCACACATTCTCAGTGTTATGTGATTGCTGGCAGTGATTTTGTCCTGCTGTTGTGTCACCTCAGAATTTCTTCTGACCCCTATAAAGTTACTTTCTCCAGAGTCTCCAGTTCAGCAGATAATTTAAGCATGTTTCCAAACACTACTGACACTAATTTCAACTTCAGGATCTAGCTTACCAGAGAAATTATTAAAGCCAGATAAGGACACTATCACTATTCCTCCCCTTTTATCTGCCTCCTCAGTGCCTACTAGTAAAAAGCGATCAGTTCACTTTTTGCTTTCTAAATCTGTGCTGTAAAGTTTGCAGCATAAGTACACATCACTTTAGTTGTACTCAGGACAGGAAGATGGATAAGACGTGAAAAGAAATTATTACAAAATATCCAGTATGCATTTCATGTAAACAGTTATCATACATGTTTAAGGTAAAGATCCATGCTACATAATTAGGTCAGCCATTATTTTAAGAATTGGCTTAACAAGCAGCAGCAGCCCACTGAGGCAGTAGATTAGTCAGACTGTGCGTGCAGACAGCACGCCAGCTGGACTGGGAGAGCAGCAAAGCCAGATTCACGTGGCTGGGCCGAGTGTGCTTGATGGATGCCCTTTTCTCCGGATTATTTTACTCATCCATTCCTGTTTTAAATTGACAGTTGAGACTGCATTTGTAAATGTCAGTTGAGCCTGCAGCAAGGATTCAAGTTCAGTCTTATTTTTCAGTATTTCATTTCTATAGAACTTTTCCTACTCTCATGTGCGTCATCCACCCCGTCCCTCAGTTTCCCTGCCTAATTGCCTGTGAATATTTTTACATTAAGCTGATTTTCTCACTTCTGAGTGACCCAACTATATCAGTTGCAGCCCCCTTTGCTGTATTTGAATGACATTTTAGTTAAAATGTCTTTTAAACAAACATTTTAAAGATTTTTGATTATTTGATCACTTATGAACATTATTCTGACCTTTGTTCAAATTGGTTTTACCATCTTTAGTTACTTTTCAGATAGAGATTATTTCTCTTAAATTTTATGACTACTAACATTCGCTGATGGCGAAGTGTAAAATCCACTGTGTAAATATGTGCAACAGCAAATTTAAAAATCTGTATTGTTTTACATGCTGACTATTGGGTTAAATATTGAATAATGACTTCCAAATCTCAAAATACATCAAGCAATGTATTAGGAGCTCTAATTTATTTTTGTTTCTAACCCTTTATATGTCTTTTTTAAAAAATTTAAAAATCTGTTCTACAGCTGGGAGAACTGCAGATTTTACAATCATCTGATCTCTTCAGTTGAAGAGTTATGCAAATCACTTAATAACAAGGTTCACAATACCATTTTGGCATTGGTGGCACTAGAGTATGAATATTGATTATAGATCCATGAAAATATACTGAGCAAATAATGAATACACTTAAGGGAATCATCAAATATTCTCCAAGGTATGTCATTAAAATAATGGCCAAAACTGTCCAAAGTTTCAATGCAAAAATTTTTTGCTGAACCCAAATGTTTCCCCATCACAACTAAAAATTTGTAAAAGACATAGAGTACATTAGATGAAAGAAGAGATTGAAAATTATTTGTAAGTTATTTTTCTCCAGTAATAACTAAAGAAAAATACCAGTCAGTTATTTATTAGTTTTTGTCATCTCATTACTATTTACCATTGTGAGAGCTCCTCCAATGACTCCACCTTCCTCCTACCACCTAGATATGCTTTTTAACCTCTCTGATGCCTTTGTGCACTTCACTCTTATCCCTCACCTCCTAAGGCCAGGTCTTTTATTCTCTCCAGCCAGGCCTCATGTGAGTAGCGCTCAGATTGCCTCTGTCACCCCTCTGGGTCTCTGTGTGACTTCATCAGTAAGTGCCCTTGGTGTCTTCTCATATTTCTTCCAAGTACACCTTTTATTTTATCTTCTGTAGCCTCTTCTCTGAGGTCCCCCTTTGCTTTTGCATCGTGTCATCCCTTGCTCTCCCAGCTGCCTCTGCTTAAATTTTTGGGTTGTTTTGAAATGTCCCCACTCCTTCCTCCTACCCTTTCTATTCTTTTTCCTTCCTGCTTATGTTCATGCCCACTTCAAGTAAGACTGGATGGGGACTTCAGTCACCACTGCTATACTAAATAGCTTGGAATGACAGAACTGGTTGGCTGCCACACAACCTATGCACTAACTGAGTGTAGAGATGCATTTTTTTTCCATGATTAACCAGATTTGTTTAATAATGTTTTCTTGGACATTGATCCATCATGTCCAAGATATGCCATGCATGTTCCTACAAGACCCAAACACTGACACCCACATGCCACCTAAAGTATATACTATTTTCTACAGCTCACCCTGTAGGCTACATATTTCTCTTCCTCATGCTATTTCATCCTGAAAAATATACTGAGCAAATAATGAATACACTTAAGGGAACCATCAAATATTCTCCAAGGTATGTCATTAAAATAATGGCCAAAACTGTCCAAAGTTTCAATGCAAAAATTTTTTGCTGAACCCAAATGTTTCCCCATCACAACTAAAAATTTGTAAAAGACATAGAGTACATTAGATGAAAGAAGAGATTGAAAATTATTTGTAAGTTATTTTTCTCCAGTAATAACTAAAGAAAAATACCAGTCAGTTATTTATTAGTTTTTGTCATCTCATTACTATTTACCATTGTGAGAGCTCCTCCAATGACTCCACCTTCCTCCTACCACCTAGATATGCTTTTTAACCTCTCTGATGCCTTTGTGCACTTCACTCTTATCCCTCACCTCCTAAGGCCAGGTCTTTTATTCTCTCCAGCCAGGCCTCATGTGAGTAGCGCTCAGATTGCCTCTGTCACCCCTCTGGGTCTCTGTGTGACTTCATCAGTAAGTGCCCTTGGTGTCTTCTCATATTTCTTCCAAGTACACCTTTTATTTTATCTTCTGTAGCCTCTTCTCTGAGGTCCCCCTTTGCTTTTGCATCGTGTCATCCCTTGCTCTCCCAGCTGCCTCTGCTTAAATTTTTGGGTTGTTTTGAAATGTCCCCACTCCTTCCTCCTACCCTTTCTATTCTTTTTCCTTCCTGCTTATGTTCATGCCCACTTCAAGTAAGACTGGATGGGGACTTCAGTCACCACTGCTATACTAAATAGCTTGGAATGACAGAACTGGTTGGCTGCCACACAACCTATGCACTAACTGAGTGTAGAGATGCATTTTTTTTCCATGATTAACCAGATTTGTTTAATAATGTTTTCTTGGACATTGATCCATCATGTCCAAGATATGCCATGCATGTTCCTACAAGACCCAAACACTGACACCCACATGCCACCTAAAGTATATACTATTTTCTACTGGCTCACCCGTGTAGGCTACATATTTCTCTTCCTCATGCTTTTCACCTGAAGCTGTTGCTAAGTTGACTGTTGGGTCTCTGACAGGAAGGAGGTGTGGGTACCATCTGTGGATCTCACAGGGCTTTCCTCAACCAGTATAAAGGTAGTAATGTTGGTAGAGAGGGCAGTGGTGTGACAGGTGCCAACTAGTATGATGGCCTATTATAGTCAGAGATTTCTCAGGCTCTTGAACAGAGGTCATTGACATCGTCTGGGCGGGAAAAGAGGATGGTCCCCTCATTTCTCAGGACTCACATAGCAGCCGTGCTGACTTGATAATAGGAAACTTCTGTCAGTCTGGGTTCATCCATTGTGTGGATAGGCTTAAACTTTCCTGAGACTAAAAATTAGTCTACAAGTTACCCAGTGCAGTAACAGGAATGAGGCACTGGGGAAGAGGTGTGCAAAGTCTCTGGAGAGGCAATGACAGATCTGGAAGATGTGCCAATCCCAAACATGCACAGGAAAGCATCACTACTTAGCTCAGTTCAGACAAGCATCCACAGAAAGAACCAAAAGTCATGTCTAAATTAGTAAATTAACTGTGTCCAGGAAGCACAAGGCAGACACAAATCTGCTCCACGCCCTCATATATCTTCCCCAGGGGACAACTTCTTACATTACCTTTGGTTTCAGTTGGCCACATAAACCCAATCTCAGATGTTTCCCTGCACTTTCAACATCCTCAGGACCTGTTACAGACAGTCCTCAGGTTAATATATGCATATGAGTTAACATGTATCTCACTGTAGCTCCTCCAGTTATACCTGTTTCTAAAGTCTTGCTTTAAACAGAAATAGTTTGTTTGTTGTTTTCTTATTTTCTCAAACCCCTCTTTCAGTCCTATAACACCATCTCTCTGTCCAGTCCTTGTGTAATGTAACCTCAGCTCTCAGAAACTTAGACTTCCAAGCACTCTGGGCTAGGATTGATTTTCCTTTATTGAACAGTCCCTCATAAAATGGATGATGATTCATAGCTGGAGATTCAAAGTCCTACTGTAACAGAGCAATAGAGTATTAGCCAAAAATACAATCACACAAATTATTAATTTAGCTTTTTGCTCCTTTTTGTGAATACTAAGTACAAACTGTAATGAGAAGTATTCACTTTTACAAATAGGTTTAATGTTTTAAAAAATTTGAATAGCTCACAAGTTATTTTCTGTATATATTTCTTTCAGCACTGGATAGTCACAATTCAATCCCTTATGTGTCCAGTGGTTTGTTTATCGCTACATATGAAATTTAATGTTTGAAATTGCAGAGTTATTTATTTAAGGTATATTTTCTACCAGTTTTCAGTTTCAAGAGAAGAAAATTGAAGCTCTGTGTTGCATACACAATTCTAATCCCTTGTGTTTAATTTTCTTTTTTTTTTTTTAAAACACAAGATTTGTAGAAGGTAAAGAAACTTTTTTTGAGATCCTAAAATGTACTTTTGTAAACATTTGTATGAACACTATAGCAAAATAAGGCTTGTACACATTTATGACAACATTCTGTTTTGAATACCAGTAAAACCAATTAAATATTTTTATTTGCTATCCTGTACATTTTAGTGTCTCAAGAAAAAAAGCTGAACAGAAGCACTGTTGCAGCAAAGTAGATAAACTTTATCAGTTTTGTTAAAGCAAAAGCATGCCAAGCATAATTATTTTGAAACTTTCTCTGACTATAATATAGTAGACTGAACCTCTGCAGACCTCAGCTGTCACCTGTTAAAAAGCAGCCCCAGTCTCATTTACCTATTTGTTGAACCCGTTCTCATTTTGAAAAGCATAATATGTAGAAAATGTGGGGGGTTGCTGTTTATTTAGCATTTTGGATAAATTCAAAGAATAGATTTTCAGATCAGTTTTTCTCAGAAGCATCTTTTGTTTTTTAAGGACTGAATTTGCCATCAGATTTTAGTACTTTAACTGATATTGAATCGGTGTAATCATTGAATTATATGTTCAGAATATCCCTACTAGATTGCAAGTAAAAATTTTGTATAAGTCTGGCATTAGCAGTGACCAGGGTCACTGTTCTGGTCAGAGAACAGGATTGCGGTTGACCAAAGCATAAACTTCTCAGCATTCATTTGGAAAGAGAAGGAAAAACAAGCATGATCTTCTCTTCACATTGGTACACCTTTTGCCAATTCCTTACTACCAGAAGAACTGTGTGGGATCGATGCCTACCTTGGTTTGCCTCATTGTTTTCCTGCAGCGCTGCATCTGAACACCACACTTACCTGATAAATTGGTCACCTTCCCTGTCTGAACAATGATCCAGGGCTTCTACATGCTCTTGTCATAAAAATCTAGCAGCCCTGTTGAATGGCCTGACTGCTGACAGCAAATGTTCTGACTGCAGCTCTGAACCCTCAGTTCAGCTCAACTCTCCTGGTTCTCTCCTGAGCTGGATCATCATGTACAGCCCCTCAGCTGTTATGCTGGTGGAACTGGAAGGATACGGTGACAGCATGGGTGTAATCAATGAGCATCTAATACTGAGTTCATATTTAGAAATCTAAATAAGTGGTATAGCTCTTTCACTGTGCTGAACACTGATTGAAGGGATGACTGTGCTGACATGGGGGCTAGCATTTCCCTGGGGGCTCTTCAGTAATGTCAGTGGCATCCGAGAAACCCTTACAAAATCTGGAAAAAGAGAAGGCAGCCGAACCTGATCAGAACAGTGAACTCCTATATAAATTCAGAGTTAAATATTTACTTTTATGCTGTCATTTCCAGGACCTGAAAGACTAAAGGAAATTATGTCAATATTGGAGTGTAGAGACAATGGGCACTTTTATTGCTGGGTACGTTAAACAGGTCTTCCGGCCCATCTGGATCTTCAGCAGCAATGTGCTCATTCATTTCAGGTTCATCTTTCATTACTCATTAGTGATGGATCTTTTTTCTTTGTAGAAAAACACACATGCAGAAGAAATTGTGATTTTTTTTCTTAATGTACCAACTAACACTTTCTCATCTCAGAATGGCTCCAGGTCTTTATAAAAAAAAGCTTTTGTAACCCAAAAAAAAAAAAAAAAAAAAAAGGAGGGTTAAAGAATAGCTTCTTTGTTTAGAAAGCTACACTTTCAGGCTTTGAGAACTTGCTTCACTAAATCTAGTACACTGCTCCCTGCAGTTATGTCCAGAAGATTTGAAACCCATTAATGGAACAGATATACAGGAAGCTGAGGGACAGGAACAGTCACACCGCAGAAATTTAATGACCCATCTAATGTTGCATTTTGGTTTCAAAATAAACATATCAGATGCTGCAGAGAGATGTAATCCCCTAATAGGGAATTGCACCCACTGCTATGAGTGATTTCTTCACAGCACAAAACATCCTGGTTCTGGCTTATGCCACAATGCTGGAGACTGGACACCTGCTCCCTTTTCCCCTATCCCATGCAGGTCAATTGTATCTTACAAGCTGAATTTTTTGCTATTATAGATACATAATTCCCTTTTTTTAATGGATGTCTTTGGATGGACAATATGACAGTGACATCTATTAGAACTGTTAGTGCCAAAAATAAGCAGTTGTTTGGCTTGCCAATCACATCCAGCAGCCATCCGCTCTACCTGCAAGCACCCAAGCAGCCAAAGCCCTCATCCCAGTGCTCCTGGCTGCTCCCAGGAGCTCAGGGCTCTGACCATGGCAGCAGCACTGTGGGATGAGCCACAGATGGGGCTGGGCAAGGAGCAGCACCCTCATCCCACTGCAGCTGCAGCTGGCTGATCCCCCCAAACAAAGTATCTTCCACAAAGATATGGTGGGAGAATGTGAGACTGACAGTACTGACAAAGTCCTGTGCAGACAAACTGAGCCTTTTCTGGGGTACTGTTTCAGAAAACCTATGTTTTTAATAACTGTAGGAATTAAGCATCTTGGAGACTTTCTCTGAAGAAACTGGAGAGTAACTCAAATGTTGCCATAGCACGGAGGTCTGACAGACCTTTGGACGGATGGGCCAACTGACAAGCAGACAAACCTCAGGAAAACCAGAAAAGTTCAACAGTGTAAATAATTTAGTTCCTTTTTTAAACCATTGCACTTTCAGCTACTTGATAGCACAAGCTTGAGTGATTGTGTTTGGAGTTGTGCTGGAAAAAGTGTCTGTACGATTACACTAAATTAATTTCTATAAAGACCATTTATCTCCACCATGCATGTTACCTTACTGATTTTCTTTTTTTTTGTTTTGTTTTCCTCTTACAAAGCAGTGCATTGAGGCAGTGCTGAACAGATAGACTAATCAGGGCCAAGCTTTCTACAGACCTGTTAATTTTTACTTCAACACCACTCCTATTTTTCAAATACATGAGTAAATCTGGGACCCTGAGTTCCCGATGGATTAATATTTCCTCTCTCTGTGATTATAGTCTTCTACTTTTAAGGGAAAATTCTTTTCTCTGGAGTTGCAAAACATATTTCTCTCAGCTTCTTCAGGACAAGTGATAAAACATTTTGCCCAAGTATGCTATGCTTTTATAGCACAGTTTAATGGGGTTGCATGTCTAATAAACTGTTTGCCTGGATTGTGGTTCTGTGATTTATGAGCCTTCAGAATTCATAAACTGACAGCAAACTTGTCCCTGCTCAGTTCATTCTTCATCATTATATGTGTGTCTTCATGAAGATCAGGACATTCTCTCCCCCCTAAATCTCTCCTGTTACCTAAAACTCAGAAATCTGTCCAAAGGCAACCATTGATTACATCAAAGAGAGTATAAGTACATGGGTCTGATGAACAGTCAAGTGACATTTGGGCTGCCTCCTAGTCCATTCTTTACAATTTGATGTTATTGTGCCTGAAGACCATTGGCTTTTAGACTGCCAGTCCCAAGAGGACCTCTGTGATGTGCTGCCAGAGTTAGCATGGGCTACCCTGTGCAGTCTAGCCATCAATTCTCTACCTTGCTCTGAAGCAACTAATTTTTAAAGCATACAAGGGAATAGCTCAATCTCTGTCTGAGGCATCCATTGAGAGACTGTCAAAATGTTACTGGATCAGGAGATGTTATATATGATACAGGCTAAGCATTTTAATGGATCTTTACCTACTGAAGAAGATGGAGCACTAGATGCTCCTCGAGTCTTCACAAACTTGAGTGAGAAACTACAGGCTTGAAAAACACACACTAGCACCACTCTGTACAAAGCCCAGTGACGGGACTTCTAAAACATGCTGTGTTTCATAATCCCATCCCTCCTGCTGAACTTCTCCCTGGGTGAAGGACTGGAAACATCACGGAAGCTGCCCGCCCTGAGACACGCTGCCAAGAAGCTTTCTTTTACAATTACTCCATACTAAACCACATTGTAAGATAATTATTTCATTAGTTGGAATGCCTGTTGGGACAGAGCAATCTTTGCCCTCTCCTTTTCATCTCCAGTTAGGAACAACATGGGAAGAGCTGCAGAGGGAAGAGAAAGCCTTTGAACACCCGTGTGTTTACTTCTCTTTAATAGCTCTGAATCCAGAGAAAGTTAGGGAGTTCACTGACAAGAGTTAAATCATCAACAGACCTGGCCAAGAAATTCACAAGCCTTACATGATTTGTCTTATTCTGTGTGATAAAAGTGCAAGGAGAGTTGAAGATATAATGGTCTGCTTGACCAGCTGATATCAGGCATAGCAGTTTTATTAATTCCCAGGACTATCCATTATATTCCTACTCTGAAAAGCAGGTAGGTGATCACTCTGCTTTGCCATTAGTCATTATAGAGTTAATCAAACATAATGAAACATTTAATATAAGCAAGCCCTAGGCAATAGACAGGACAAGATTCAAACCTTTCAGAGAAATGGATTGCTGCTCTCTGATGAGTAGGCTGAAAAAAGTAGGATACTTCTTAGACAAATAGGACTGAAGAACACAGACTTTGACTATAAAGACAGACATGCTGTTTTAACTGTTTAAAATCCTGTTTTAACTATCATCTGGAAAACAAGACGCTGAAATAAATATATGCTTTTTGGAAACTTTCTCAGTATTTCTTCGGCACACATAAGCTTGACACATTTCAGAAAGGGAAGCCTTGCTGAGTTTTGTCCATAGAAGATGTGTAGTGACAGTTGCATCAGGGTCTCAGAAACAATTGAGGGCTGCAACAAATCTTGTTGCATGAAGATGGTGACAGCCCCTTTCAGTGTGCTCCCATATGTCCTTCTGAGACATGCAGTGGTGTGGTTAAGCACCAAAACCCTTCAGAATGGCTTACCCGAGTTTTATCAGCACATGGACTGATAGCTAATCCAAAGCCATGTGCTTTTTCCAATTGCATATGAGTTTTTTGAAATGAACTCCAAGTTATTTTATTCTTATCACTATAAAGAGCAATTGGCTCAGTGGGTATTGATTTGCAACACATGTATATGGAGAGTTTTGATTGCTAATTGAAAAAGGGTAAATCCAGTGAGCCGTATAAGATTTGCAATGTAACAGGAAAACTTATTAAAGGAAAAGTATCAACTTGATAAATAGTACATTTAGAGTTCCTTTCCCTTGAGCTTATTAAAGCAACCATGACTGGTATTGATCATCAGAGGTAAAAATTGGATCCAAACAGCAAAGGGTAAATAAAGGTAATGTATCCTAGAATGGTTTTGTTTTCAATATTCAAACAAGTCATCTGGATGATTGTCTCCAAATCGGTAGCTCCACATTTAAGTATGCAGTCACACAGCATGGACACTAAAATCAGTAAGATCTAGAGTCACCAATATCTGCGCTTGCTTGTTCCAGTTGTGTTTGAAACACATACATATAGCTGGTGTTTTGCTACATACTGTGCACAAAGCTCATTCTCAGGACAATGCCACTGAGAAATGGATTGGATCTATGATTAATTTGATCCTGTATATGCTACAACATGCAAATACTTGCACCTGCACACAAAGGCATAAAATCAAAATGCAGGTTATTTGTTATGAAAGTAAAATTAATCTGTGGTCACACTGTTTCAGAAAACTAGAGTATTTCAAATCATCACGCTCTTCCTTTGGCTTTTTATTTATCTTGAACTCTATAGCCATTGCAAAGTGTGCATGATAGACACTTTCTTCTAATCAAAATTGGAAGTGGTTTACTTTGCAGAACAAAAACAGAGAAGAGGTAGGGAAAGAAGCATCAGAGGATGGATCCAGGGATCCTGCAGGTGTGTGTACTGTACCACATGGGATTTCCACAGTTCATCTCATTGCTCTACAATGGCCTTATACTGTTTCTTCAAGGTCAACTTTTTGGCAGCCTGCTTTCTTCCAAGTCCATCCCTGGCCACCAGAACAACCTGTACTACTTAGCT